CCCGCCCCTCCTCGCGCCCGCCCTCACAGCGGCCGCGCGTCCCCGCCAAAGGCTGCGCCGCCCGCCCGGCTCTAGGGCCTGGCAGCAGCCCCGCCCGCCCTCCGCTTCACCGCCAGCGGCCGGGCCGCGGCTCTCGCTCGTCCCGCCGGATCCGCTGCGGTTGTTTTCTTTCTGAGGCGGGCGCTAGCAGCGCCCTTGCCCGCGGGAGGACCCGGGAGGTTGCGCCGCTCCTCACGCTGACTGGCGGCCGCTGGCGCCGCGGGGGTCCTGGTGCCCCCGCGCCGGGACCAGAGCCAGATCCGGAGCCAGCCGGGAGCTGGCGGAACAGGCGCTGCGTCCCCACCACCTCTCTCCCGCGGAGTCAGCAGAGAAGAGGCTGAGGAGGGGACTTGCGCGCAACCGGCGTCCTCCGCATTGTGCGAGCCTGCATGGGCACGGCGCGGGGGCGCGGCCGTGGGGCTTCCCCGAGCCTCCCGCCTCCCGGCCGTGCGCTCGCACCCTCCCCGGCATCGCCTGTAGCCGCCAGGCGCCGAGTTAAGGCATGAGGGATGCTTTTGTGCTCGCCTGCGGGCGGAGCAGCGGGTAACGGCGGAGCTAGCGGCAGCCGGAGCCGCGATTGCGGGGCAGGTCGGGTTGCCGCGGTCACCCGCAGCCCTCCCGGCGAGAGAGGCCGGGCGCGATGCTGAATTGAGCGACCGGAGTCTTTGCAAGCGTGGGGGCAGGCTTAGCAGCCCGTAGCCGGCCTGGGTCCCAGCGGAGCTGGCAGGGCGGGCGGGCAGCTCCCCATGGCGAGCAGCCGGAGCATCGAGCTGGAGCACTTCGAGGAGCGGGACAAGAGGCAGCAGCGTGCCGGGCCGCGCCGCGGCGGCAGCGGCTCCGGCAGCGGCGGCGGCGCGGGGCCGCGGGGCAACGGGCTGATCCCCAGCCCGGCGCACAGCGCCCACTGCAGCCTCTACCGGACGCGGACCCTGCAGGCGCTCAGCTCGGAGAAGAAAGCCCGGAAAGCCCGCTTCTACCGCAACGGGGACAGGTACTTCAAGGGCTTAGTGTATGCCATCTCCACCGACCGCTTCCGCTCCTTCGACGCCCTCCTCGTTGAGCTCACCCGGTCCCTGTCGGACAACGTGAACCTGCCCCAGGGCGTCCGCACCATCTACACCATCGATGGCAGCAAGAAGCTCACCAGCCTGGATGAGCTGGTGGAAGGTGAGGGGGGTCTACCGGGCCGGGGGCAAGTAGGGCGCAGGCTGCGGGCAGCGCTGCCCTGGCATGTCGAGGTCCAGCAAGAGGTGGCGTGGGGCCTGATGGTGGGTTGCAGGCTCTCCCTGGGGTGGGCTTTCCTCTCGCTACCCCGTTCAGAGCCGAGAGAGGTCACCTTGCTGAAAATTGGCAGCCGTGGGAGCCCCTGAGGTCAGGTGGGCTGGGGTTGCCTGCCGCTGTGAGGTGCGGTAGGCCTCATTATCCCAGTGTGGACCGTCCACTTCTCCCATCACCCGGACAGGTGCTGTCTGTAATGCGTGGGGGTTGACTCTAATGGTCGTTAAGCAGCAGGTACTCTTTCATCTACAAGAACCATAGCAAAGTTCTTGGCTACCTTTCAGTCATGTCCATTTGTAAGAGAGGGAAATGCTGTAATTTAGTTCTCTGACAGTCATTGATGCCTTGCTGTGGCTTAAGCTTTCGGAGAGAAAGCCCCTGTGCTGTGAAAAGGGATATTATACCCTACCACTAAAACAGATTGGTGTAAAGTCCTATTTTCAAATATGATCAGAGTGATAGAGGGAATTATCTACCTTGTCTGACTTTCAAAAGCATTTTATAGAATCAAATGCTGTTCAGAATTGTCCCTAAGTAGCTTTTGATAATGGGACTTAGCTGCTAAGGTTATGTAGACCTTGCAAATCTGAGCAGAGCAGCGCTTGACTACATCTCAAAATGGGGCCAGATGTACTTTTTTCTGAATGAAACATATGCCTCTTTTTTTGTAGGGAATGATAATTAGCAGGACAAAGAGCAGAATTCACCTGTGTTCTCAACTGGTGTCTTAAAATGCAGTTTAAACTCAGCATTACATGAATCAGCCTTTCTAATGTATTGGTTATGTTGTATATGCTGTGAGGTTCATAATCAATTTACACTTGATGCTTCTCAGTTATCTAATATATCAACCACTGCAGTCCTCCACCCAGTTACTCTATATGCCACATGTAGCTGATTTGCATTAATGAAGTAGTAGGATTTGTAGGTCTTCTAATGCCTCATCGTTTTTAGGCTTTCAGCTGTGAGTCCTTTAAGCTTTGATTTGGAAACTTGCATTTTCAAAGCAATGCTGAATCACACCTGGAGAATTTGATGAGAAAGGGAACCTGAAGACCTTTATATAATCCACCAGTAAAGGCACTGGGTGTTAGGGACCAGCCACTCCAAAACATGCAAGAGGAAGGGAGAGGCTACAGCATTTGCTGTATCAAGGGGGTCTCACTTAAAAAACATATGCATGAAAATGCACTTCATAATAGTAACATAGTGCCTGAGGGCTTTCCCTATCATGTGATCTACCATAAGGCTGTTCCATAGTCAAAACAGAGGAAATGTGAAATGGTTGTAGAGTCAAATGCCAACTCTGTGGTAACAAAATATATGTGAAATCAACCAAAGACTTTTCTATGATTTGGTGATTAATTTAGAGATAGCTAAAAAAAAAAAAAAAGATGCTGGAGTGGGGATGGTAGGGAAAGGAGACAAAGCAAAAATTGGATAAACTAATGATTACTTGGGCTGACTTTTGAAATGTTGCAGAAGGAAAGATCTTAAGCTTTTATGGCTTAAAACAAAGACAAAATGACTTGCTGGCCAACAGTATAAATGCAGCGTATACTCTCACAACTCTGCTTTCAGTTATTAACTTTAAAATAAAAACTTACTTCCTGTCTGGTCAAATACAAAGAGTGACCTTTGTCATTGCTCTTTACTGGAAGAATAAAGCAAAACAAATGTCACCACTGAAATGCCACTTCCCTGCTTTATCAGTAAAATAAAAGTGGAAAAAAAGAGTCCCAATTACTTGGTCATCTATCCATGACCAATACAACTCTTGGGAATCTTAAGAAAATGCTGTAGCATCATAATTGAATTAGTATGTTCTCCAGTTAGCATGCCAAAAACTTTACCAGTGTAAGTCTAATCACTATACAGAGAAAGGAAAGCATATACAGGGGCAGGAAGAAAGCAAACAAGTAGCAAATACATCATTTCCTTGAAATTATCTGAGCTTTTTGCCAGCTGTTTTCTTCTTAAGATGCTAGAAGAGGATCTGATTTTATTTTATTTTCTTTATTTCTTGTAGTTCCAGCACAGCAAAGTTGAATTTCTGCTCTAGAATAAATACTTAACATTGGTGATATTCTAAAGTTTGAACAGCAATAGCACCAGAATTAGTTTTGAATGGTGTTTTGTTGTATTACTTTTCAGTTTTCAGAAAGGAAGATAAAATTAAAGTGCTGTTGTGTATGCCAGCTATAGGCTGAACACCAGACCGAACATGGCTACTTGATGTATTACCTAATTGACTAGTCTGCACATCATAGAATCATTTAGGTTGGAAAAAACCTTAAAGATCGAGTCCAACCATCATCCATCTCCACTAAACCATGT